TACCCACTAGACTTCCCTGCTACATGGGCGAAAGTTTGCACTTCCACCCATGAGCAGCACCTGCAAAGGACTCGGAGATATAAGGATGGACAAAAAAAGAGACATCTTTTTTCTCTCCCTCACAAACCCCAGGTTATCACTGGAAAGGAACACAGGGACACCTTTTCCCCCTCTTTCCAGATGGGTAACTAATTATCTTCAGCTGGCACTCCTCTTGAGTGCATCCTGAATCACTGGAACTCCTTGGACCCTTAGACTCTGAAAAAAGAAAAAAAAAGCCTTCTCTTTCTTTTTACCTCCTCTGTCCTCTCTTTGTACATGGGTAATTGTGTCTCCATACCACAAGACACTCCCTCAGATGCATCCCCCAAACTATGAAAAGTTTAATTTCCCCAAGACTTAAACTGCTTGGCTTAAAAATGAACTGGGAAGAAATTACAAATCTAACTGAACAATCTTTTGAGAAGGGACAACTTTTACAGTATGCAGATAACCTCTATGTCTGCTCCCCCTTCACAGGACTCCAGGGTCCATAGGGCTCCATAGCTTGGGGGAAGAGGACCCAGAAGCCTGACATGCTGCCAAAAGGGTAGAAGTTTTTTCCAGTTAGACTTCTGGCTTCTCTCTCTCTGTGAAAACTGGTTATAGAAATGGTAAACACACTGTATTCTCTGCCCCTCCATGAGTTGAAAAGCCAGATGTATTGGCTATTTGGCATGGCTAATATTGGGTGGTAAGTAATTTAAAGGGACATTTTTAGTATCAGCTTAATTAAAAGTAGATATGCAGGCTACCAGTATATTTAAAAGGTCTTCATGTCTTTTCATGGATCTTGATTTTCTGGAAAAGGGTACTTTCTTCTCTGCTGAATTATTTTTCTCAATTTTGTCTTGCCACTCAGTGCACACGTGAGAGGCCCTAAGACAACTTCTGATAGCCTGGGACTCCTTGGGAAAAACAGAGGAGGTGCCACAGACTCGTTTTGGGAAAAAAACCTGTTTCCTTGATGGAAGCCCAGGAATTCAGAGCAGATAGATCCGTCTCAAAATCTAAGGCTTTGTTCTGTTTTACATTGTGTTATCTGACGATTTTTAGTTATGGGGGTAACAGGAAATTACCTGAAAGACTCCTACGGGAGATGGGCTGACTCCCTCTTTTTGGGATCTAGGATTTGGTACATAATGGGACCCTTACGTTAGGGGATCTGTTTTTGTCTTCCAGCTACGCCATAGAAACTGCAGGCTTTCCTAGCCCTGTTTCTTGAAGGGTTCCACCCTGAGGCCAATAATCCAATTAAGAAATTTGCAAAGCTCTAATTAATTGGCTTTTAGAAAAATTAGTGCTTAAATATTTTGAAATATTTTCCTGAATGAGGAGATTGCAGTTCAGAAGGGCCTGGCTGCTGTGAGCCTGGGCAAAGAGAGTGATGTCCCTGCTCAGGGATCCTCAGGTATTAGGAAGCTGAGGCCTTTTCCACCCTGTGCCTTGCAGAGTCGACTCTCGAGTGAGGGGCCTGGTACACTGGGAGGGTGGTCACAATTCCTCTAGAGGTATAATCTAGGCAGACAGTGCTATCTTGCTAACCTGGTGTTACTAACTTCTCTGAGGATAAAAATCACCTGAGTTCTTGTTTGATCAGTCTCACGGCTAAAAACCCCAGGGAGTCATGGCCCCACTTCAGACTTGGCCTGGTCCTTGGGATATGCAGCAAGATCGCAGCAGAGTTTTGTACAGTGAGCTGTAGGGGGCCATGGGACCCAGTACGTCCTCTGTAGTGTCCCCCACCCCCTCGAAGAATAGGAAAAGTTCAGGAGTGGCCTCTCAAGCTCCTGAGATGCACCTCAGAGATCTGTATTTTAATTAGGGGTGCTGGGGCAAGAAGACATCAGAAAAGCTCCCTCTAGTCCAGCCAAGTATGGCCTCCTTCCTGCAAGGTTTAGATCCTGAGGGCTTTGAATTATTTTCCTGAGGAGAGTGCCAGCCTCATCCTCAGCTCTGTGTGAAAGCTCCAGGCTTGCCTCATGCTAACCAGCTTGAATAATGTGTATTTTCTACACTCCTTCAGAGAGAGAGGCCTGCCCTTTTCTCCCTAAATGCAGTGAAAGGAGGTTGTGCCAGAGTCTTGCCTACCAGGTTGCGGGTGGACATGGCTGTGAAGGTCATAACTAAGGGGGCCTCAGGATGGAGAGGCCAGGTAGCCCTTGTCCTCGCCTACCTGCTCCCCAAGGCAGCCCAGTTCTTAGCAAAGAGATAGCACCAGGCATTATCTGGGCTCTTGCAGGACAGGGCTAGTGGAGCCTATTTGGGTGTCTCCATTGTGGGCAGAAAGTAGTATCTGTGTGTAGAAGGTCCCACTGGACAAAGGGCCAGTGGAACCTTCCTCTGATGCCCAAACACTTCCAACTATCTGCAATTAGAATAATCCAATTTTGTCTGCAAAAGATAAGGGTGAAATCCCTAAATTTGCGAATCCTGGAACAAAAGCAAACAAACCCAGGTGTCTCCCACGACTTCCTAAGGAGAGTTGCCAAACCCTCTTCATGGTCTTGGCTTGGGGCTTGTGGGCTCAAGGGTCCCTGTTTTGCCTTGGAGACCAGGATGGGGCTTCACAGGATAGAGCTGCAGGGAACAGCAATGGGCCCATGGGGCTCACAGGGTGTCATTCTGTGGAGACAGACTGCCCACAGTGGAGATACCTAAGGAGGCCCCAGCCAGCTTGGGGGAAATTTGATTCCTCTGCTGGCTGCAAAAGGAGCAGGGTCTGGCTGAACAGGCCTGAGGTCCCACAGAGGTAGGGATCTGGAACAGTGGGCAAGAGACAGCCAGAGCTTGACAGAGGGCCAGGAGAGCCCAGGATAAGCCACTCTTCAATTCCCTCCTCACTGCTCCATTTCCCCAGGCAGAGACATGGGGTCAGGAGAGCACATAGCCCAGGGCCTGGGAGCCCAATAGCCTTTCTGCTGTCTCTGTCCCTGCTGGTGGGTACAGATGGGGTGTGGTCAGATACCGCCTGGGGTCCCAAGGCCTTACCCCCTGCAATCCAGTTATTAGATGATGATTCCTCCTCTTGGTGGCAGGAAAGTCTGGCAATTGTGTTGCTTCTACTTCTGGCAGAGAGAGGAGCACCTGTAGAGGATGGTCCATGGGGTCCAGAGAGGGTGGGTTCTCGCAGCCCAACTTCTCAACAGCATGTTCTCACTGCAAGTCAACAAATGGGGTCTTTGGCTTGGCCCCAGGGTCTCCAACCTTGAGAGACCAACACCGCAGGGACAGATTTGTGAGGCGACTGGCCTAAATCTTGTGAATTAAATGGACAAACTGATGGAGTACAGAAAACTCTGTGTGGCTGAACTGGGTCATGGAAATGGCAGCCTGGGCAACAAGTTATGAAAACAGATTTCTCACACCCGTTCCTGTCCTCCAGGCCTAAGTGACCTCCATGTGCTCCTCGTCAAATCTGGGGGCGGGTTTCTCCCACCCCCTTGCCTGGGACCATCCCCTGTCCACCTGGGGATGCCGGAAGCAGCCTCTGGGGTAGCCCAGGGCTGTGCTGGCCAGCGGGCTTGGGGCTACCATCACCCACTCATGGAACTGGAAGGTGCCCCTGGGTGAGGGCGGGCCACACTCAGCTAGGGGAAGACAGATGGCATGTACAACCTGGAGCTAATGGTAGCTGATTGGAGGGGACCCCCAGACTCCCTCCGAATGGTGGAGGAGCCCCCGTGTGCTCAGAAGCTGCCCTGGGAGTCCCTGCGGAATGGGGCTGGAGCATGGCTCCTTGGAGGGCCAGTGTTCTCCCTGTCTGGTTTGGAAGCAGAGCAGGCTTCTGGGGACTGAGTCACCTTGGGATTCTTGGATCAATGTGAGCAGAAGAAGCTCTAGGAGGACAAATTTAACTTCCTGCCGAGGCAGCAGAGCATCCTTTCGGGAGGAATGCAAGTGGGTGGTGCAGACCCGTGCCAAGGTCAGCACCGCCCCGCCCCCCCCCCCCCCCGCCCCCCCCAACTCACCGTCGCGCCCTGGGCCTCCCAAGCCTGGCTTCCTGCTCCCCAGCCCGCAGCACGGGCCAGGACCAGCCTCAGAATCTGCAGGGCGCGGTGCAAAATGAAAGCATTGCCCCTTGGCCAAAAGTAACTAAAAATTTCCAGATGGTGAGAGCAGAGGAGAAGCGATCACACGGCCCTGGGAACCCGCCAGGTGGCTGGATGCGAAGTGGCCTCACTGGGTTCCCCGCCCTGCTCCCAGGTCCCTCTGACCACCCAACTCTAGGGCGCCACAGCGGTAGTTCCTGCCTCTGCCCCACCCAGCCTCAGTCACTGTGTGCCTCTGGGCCTCCCACACCGCCTGGGACAGGCAGGGCTGCGTTCTACCTGCAACTGCTCAGAAGGCACAGAGGGGCCCGGAAGAACGCGAGGTTTCCGAGACGGAGGCCACAGAACACCCGGAATGGGGCTGGTGGCCCAGCGTGCATTGCGGCAGGCATGTGACTGCCCTGGACCATTCGCAGCTGGTGATTGGCTTAGGGACCAGCACGTGACCAAGCGGGCCGGAAGTCTCCTGTGGCGTGGCTGCGTGCCCCCGGGAAGCCTCCCCCTCGTGGGGACAGTGGGGAAGTCGCGTCGTGTGCCCGCGTTCCCTTTTGGTGGGGCTGGAGCGCTGCCGCTGCGCTCTTTTATTGAACGCAGGCCGTCGCAGAGGCTCAGAGTCCCCGGCGGTGCCCTCGGAAGCCATGCGGGCTGTCCGCGCCTTGGAGGCCAGGATCCTGCAGCTGCGACTCGAATCACGTGGGGCGCAGAGGCTGCGCTGGAACCCCCATAACCGGCTGGGATTCCGAGTTCTGACCGAGTTTCATTTTCTGAGAGCGCTGCTAGCACCGGGTGTTCGCCAGGTGATCTGGCGAGCCCGGGAAGCAGGCTGAGGCCACCACGCCCTCGCAGGGCCACACTGGCCAAGCAGGTGTTGGCTGCACGGAGGAGGAACACATTTAAAGAACAGCAGTGTTTTCAAATGATGTTGGATAAGGCTTTGTTTTTTAAAGGTGGTGGAAGCCTCAAGGGTGCCCCCAGGACAATTTCTGTAGTCAGGGTTCCCTCCAGGTTAGGGTCTACACAGCCATGGCGGGCTACACCGTGCGTGCTTTGTCACTGAGAACTGACTCCTAAGTGACTGTTAAGAGTCCATGGGGCCAGTCAGCTTACACACAGGCCTAATATAGCAGAAATAATGATGCAGGCTGTTAAAACAGCCTTTGGAAAGAGGTTTTCAATTTTTCATTCACAAAGCAAATCAAGCTTCCTAATTAGCTACAACACTGCTGGAAAGCTCAGCTCCTAGAGGCTGCAAACCCTTGCTGTCTGCTTTCTTCTGTGACCATCTCTGTTACAGGAACGGCTTGGCTGCTTTCTAATCTCACTCATGTTCAAAGAACTCGTGGCAAGCAGTGGTAACCATGGCAACAAAGGCCATAAATTCCTGGAAGTCACATTCGCCGTCTCCATCATTGTCCAGAGTTTCCATAACTTTGTCCACAACCTCCTGCTCTTTGATTTCCTAAGAGAGATAAAAGAAGTTGCCGACCTTGTTTTTAAATGGAATTTTGGATCATCAAAGCATGATTAAAAGTTGAGTGACTCTGATATTTTGTGTCCAAAATAACCTAAGGATATGTAATGCAAAATATCAGGCAGGATGTCTCGTGTGACCGGGGGCTGTTGTCCAAGCAGGAGTCTGGGGGTCAGTGCCTGGCCCTGGGCTACTGGAAAAGGCTGAATGGAATAGCCAAGAGGTGAAAAACTGAAGATTGTTATCATACTTAAAAAAAAAAGAAGAAGGCGGCAGTCTAGATCAGCCTGAGCAAATGTCTTGAAATAAAAATAAATTTATGGCCCTCCTAAACTTTTCATGTGTTCTGTGTATGGAAGTTCCTGTCTCAAAGGCTTCCAGTAGAATTTAATGTTTTGAAAGTCTTTGTTGCTGAAGTAACTCTTGGGAGCATGTCCTACATTTGTTAATCCTATATTCTTTTTCCCACTCGAATTGCTTTCTAGGTGTGATGACACTTTTTCCTGACAGTTCTGCCTGACATTGAATGGTGTGGCTATTAAGTGATGAACAAACCCTCAGAGGAACAACCACAGAGCAGGGCTACAAACGTGGTGGGAAAAATTGGGGCACTGAACACTGATGAAGAGCGTAAATGCAGAGTAACAATTCCCCGGGACTGGAGGGCTTGGCCTGAAGAAGTCAGGTGTAATGTACAATGGCTGCCTTGGATATAAAACACACAGGGGTTAGGCACGATGGTTCGCACCTATAATCCTAGCACTTTGGGAGGCTGAGGCAGGAGGATCACTTGAGCCCAGGAGTTTGAGACCAGCCTGGGCAGTATAGGGAAACTCCATGTCTACAAGGAAAAAAATAAAACAATTAGCTGGGCATGGTCCTTGTGCCCATATTCCCAGCTACTCAGGATTGCTTAAGCCTGGGAGGTTGAGGCTGCAGCAAGCCAAGATTGCACCACTGCACTCCAGCCTGGGTGACCGCGCAAGACCTTGTCTCAAAAACTAAATAAGCAAAACATAAATACGATTGTAACTTATGTTACGGGGATAGGGGTGGGGAGGCACCTGTGGATGGGCAGGAGTAGGGCATTAACTTCAATTATATTATAGATCTGCTTCCGAACTGACATTACCTTGACAAAACCAGGCCAACAAATGTTCGTGATGTCTTCATATGCTTACCATGAGTTATTTATCATTTATAAATTGAGATTCCCACATGCTAAGCTTTTTCTACGTATAAAAATAATAATATTTGAGATTTCACTGTATGTTAAGCACTTAAGCACTATCCCATTTCATTCTCATAACAGCCCTTGTTCAGAAGAAGAACCTGGGACTTTTAGATCACGTCAGAAGGCAGGACTGGCGGAACTAGAAAACTGCATGTGTGAGTGGGGCCGCTGTCCCTCTGTGGGCGTGAACGCCTGAGAAAACCAGTCCTGGAATCAGATGTGGGGATGGCCCCTGCAAGCTTGCAGGCCTGTCTGCTCCACTCTGACCCATTCGCAGTGGTGCAGTGTTTGGTGGGAGTGGGGGCAGGAGAACCAGCCAGCGCCCCCTCCCCTGCCCCATGATTGTCATGCTGCTGGAACCCAGGGCTTACAGTCTTGCACTAAGAGGCTCAGACAGCTCAGCAGGGCAGCTCCCGCCCCCATGCAACAAGCCCTGCCCTGATATTTATCCTGGAATCAAGGCTCGGTGAGACACTATTGTGCTGGCTCATCATCGGGTCATTTCTCTCGTTTGTGATTGCTTATGTCAGTGACCCAGGAAACCCTTTATCACATCTCACATGGGGCACACCACTGGTGCTTCACTCTGGCCCTGTGTGTGCTTGAGCTAGCCTTGGTGCTAAGAGAGCATCAGGTGCCAGGTGGATCACGGTTCACTTCCATGAGAGTAGCGATAGGTGGGTCTGATCCGAGGACAGTGGAGGTGGCGCAGGAAATGAGTGCTTAATGCGAGTGTTCTGCCACAAGCCAGAGCGGGAACTGTCTGAAGAACAGGGCTCCCAGGAGCCCTCATGCAGGTTCCTAAAGTAGGGGTCCCAATTAAAGACAGTTCCTCACCAATATCCGTCACAGTTCCTCACCAATATCCACGGAGCCTTCTGCAAAGCCCCGGGTTTCCAAAGGATGTGTGCAGACCCCTGTCATGCCCTCAGTCAAGTAAGTCCTGGTCATCCATCCATGTGCCAGGCTGGGTGTCCAAGAGCAGAACCACGTCTGTTGTGACTGCATATCTCACAGTTTTTAATTAGTGCTTAGTCAGTGTTTATAGAGTGAAAGTCTGGCATATTTTATCTCCATAGTAAATAATAAACGCCCAGCTAAAGCCAAAAATATATCCCTTTCCTAAAAACATTCCCAAAGCTTATTTTGAACAGTTTCCTTTTGCGTTCACTTTGGCGCATGTAAATAACGAGTCTGGCATTATTTGGGAAACTTTTGCCTTTGGGACAGCGGATTTCCCTTGATGCACCTGCTGTACACAACACTGTTGATAAGGAAATGAAAACAAGGTCCCATCTGACCCAGCCCCCCATTGAGGGTTCTGTTACTCAAGCAAGTTTCCAGAAGCAACCCAGGAGTCCTGGGACAGAACTGGAATCAGCTTCAGGGCAGCTGAGAAGATAAAGCCAGTGTACAGTGGCTTTGTAAGAGGAGATGGGGAAAGTGTCAAGTTTAAAAAGCAAGACTCACCTCTAGGAAATGGGAAAGCTCATGGTTGATGAGCTCCTTCAGTTCGGATTTCTTCAGCTTGTGCTTGTCTCCCTCCCTTCCGGAATACTGGTGGAAAACGTCGATGAGGGCCACCATGGCCTTCTCCAGCTCAGACATCCTAGGGGCTCACAAAGGAAAGATGCCTTCTCATCTATACCTCATCGTAAGCATTTCGTGTGTTATCGACACAGACCTCAACCCAGACAAGGGGGATGGGCTGGCCTTGCATTCTTTTCAAGCTCAGAGCAGCAGGCAACGCCTGGAAGGGCATTCAGGAAATTTGTGCTTTCATCACAGTCCTCCCACCTGCCTCTTAGACACATGTGGGCCTGCCTTCTCTGTCCCTCTGAGCCACAGGGATATCTTCCCATGCCCTCTGGCTTCTGGTTGGGTTGGGTGAATGGGAAAACTTCAGCAAAAATACAGAGGCAGAGCAGAAAGGGAATTCAGGGATTAATTTCTGCTTCCCGCAGGGTCCCTCTCTGTCCTTGTAAAGCTCCAAGATGAGGTGGTCGAGTGCAGGTGAGCAAAGCATGAACTGCAAGCTGGTGAGACGGTGACTAGGAGCAAAATAAGAAGACAAAAATCAACAGCATTCCTCTTTTCTATCAATAAAGAAGTAGAGAATACAGTGCAAGACACCCTTTTCATATAGCAATGACAGGTGCTGTAGGAGTAAGTTTAGGAGGAAAAATGCAGGTGCTTCCAAGAGATTCTGAGAAACATAAAACGTAGGAACTTTTTCCTTTAAATTCAAATGTAAATTTAAATCATCTTTAATAAAAATAATGGAATTTTTTGGGTGGGTGACATGACAAAAACAGCTGTAAAATTCATCAGGACAAATAAATATGGTAGAATTGCCACGATCTTTTTGAAGAATAACAATAAAAGGTAACTGACCTACCAGGAAAAAAAAAAATGTATCTTAAGTTTAATTGATTAAATGGGTGTGGTTCTGTCGCAGGGAAGGACAGAACCCAGCAGAAAGCTGAGCTGCTGAGCAAGCATTCCACCTCCCGTGCAGGGAAATGGTGGCTCATTCACTGCGGTAACTGGGACGGTACAGGAATATGCTTCTCTGCCGCAATCTCAGTAAGAGCCCTCCTGCTCCCTCACAGCAAGTACCGTACGTCACAGCCTACAAACCAAGGAAATACCTGGTCAGTCTGGGAATGAGGCGCATTTTACAAAGGATGCCTTGTCAGTTGTTTCACTGAACAGACGCGCAGGCAGAGAGATTTACCAGCTTTTGGCCTCGGATTCTAATCATTAAATGAGAACATTTGCACTGTTATAATTAAAAATAAATTAATAAATCAAATATTATCAAAAATCATTCCTATGTTGAATAGATCACTTACATCTTAAAAATAATTTGGAATTAGATGTAAAAATTTTTATTTATTTCTGATCCTCCAAAGGAAACAGGACTGGAGATTTTTTTATACTGGCCAGATCTTTGCTAAAGTCATTGTATTAATAATCAGTATACTTCACAAATAGAACAGCTAAGAGGGATTAAAATTTTTTAGCATTTCATGTTTTCTTATTCTTTGCACTAAAATGTTCGGTTATTGATGTGTATGTGTGCGTGTGCGTGTGTGTATTTTAAAAAACCACACAAAACAAAATACACTTTTGCATCATTCTGATGCTCCTCAAAGTTGGTGATGATTTAGGGAAAAGGAGGTTAAATTGTTTTTCTGCGAATTATGACTAATGGGATTTTTACAAAGGAAAGGCATAAAACATGTATTCCATATATTAGAACCCTAATAGAAACCACTAGAAAATACGGTTTTCTTCATAACCACACTACAAATCAATTAAAAAATTTTTGTTAAATTTTTCCCTTTGACTTAAGAAACAGTTGATGGTTTACAGTTTATCTTGTAAGATAAATGGAAATAAATATCCATTTCTTTCTTACATTCTGTAGATGTTCTACATTAACCTTCTAATATTGAGAACAAGAGAATATTTGAACTTTAACTCCTTCGACAGTTTAGCTAGTGCGTGAAGATCCCTCTAAAGAAGGGGTTCGACTCCCTGAGAAACTGTAAGACTGAGGAAAGTTAAAACTCGCCAAAACTCCACTTTCTTGGACCCAATTTATCTGTAATTGTTATGTAATTTCTGAGTGGTGTCCTGGGGCTGCGGGGACCCTGGCTTTTTAAACTGAGGGAAACTGGAAAACTGAAGTTACTTACCCAGGGCGGTGGAAGAAGTAAGAGGGAGAAAAGGAAAGCATTTATTTATGATATAGGACTAAACTAGCATTAGATTCTCTCTCATTTTCAGCCCCAGTGGGAAACAAAAACCTTGCTCTTCAAATCGTTACAGAAGAGGCAGTGTTTGTAGTATCACTGGGAAAATGTCAACAATCACTTCTGGACCATGAGAGCTGAGGTTTCTCTGATTTATGGCAAAACACAGGCAAACAGCTCTGGCTGTCTAGGGCTGGTGCGGTCGGGTGTCCACAAAGCAGCAATGAAGTGGAGATTAAAGCACATCGTGCTATTGACCCTTCTGAAATGCTGCCAATTATCCTAAAGGGATAGTTTCTACCCCTCCTCCACCACCCTGTTCCACCCAAAACAAAACCATTTCTTCCTGAGCGTCCTCCTGGCCTGGCTCTCTCACCTCTTCCGCGTCTCACCCTTCCTTGTCTCCTTGCTGCAGGCCTCGTCTCTGCTGCCGGTCCTGGAGGGCAGGACTGGTGCACAGGGGCAACCTCTTATCCCCTCTGCCCAGGGAGGACGGATGAACCCAGGTGCAGCCCACTGCAGGCTGTGACAGCCAATGGGGGCCGAGGGTGGGGGCGGCAGGGCTGCCAGGCTGGCACACAGGGCTGCATTGACCAAGCAGCCCGGGGACTTGCCAGGAGCCAGGATTGCACACGGGCTGAGGAAGAAGAAGGGCCTGTGGGGCAGGAAGTGGGGAGTCAGCTTTTTGTGCTATTTATTTGTTACATGAATATTGATGTTCTGCTGAAGGCAAGGTTGGGGGTGGAGAGAGAGAGACTTGGGCTAATTGATTCAAACAAAGCAAATGTGCAGCCAAGAACCAGAAGCTTCCAAGTACAGGCTGAGCGTAGGAGAGTAGGTGGCCTGCGATCTGGCTTCCGATGGAGAGACCCCTGGAGCCTCTCTCCTCTGCCAGCCTCCATGGCTGGCCCCACTGGGCGCGGGCTTCTGTGGACAGTAGTGCTTGTCCGTGGTCAGCCCTGGGTTCAACAGGGCTGCCTCACAGAAGCTGCTGAGCCCCGTGTCTGCAGGGACTGAAATGTGTGGTACTTTGAGGGGAAAGTCCTTGTTTAGCGTGATGTGGATTGTATCCCAAGGCCTTATGCTCCACCCCAGTGTGGAAGGTCACAGACCGGCAGAGTCGCACAATGCCTTAGAGATGCCCTATCCGAACGCTGTTTTACAGAGGTGTGTGGATGCTGTGCCCCTTGCCGAAGCCTCGAAGGAGAAATCCAGTCGTCCCCTCTATGTGCCCTATGTGAGTCTCTGAGTGCAGGGGCCAGTTTGCGGGTTCTTCACAGGAGGGAAGAAGTGGGCGTGCCTTCTGACAAATCACACAAAAGCATTGGCCCAAACTCTCCACACATGTCCATGGGCCCCAAAGGATGCCTGACCCTGCGTCAGGTCCTTCTCCCCACCCAGTTTCAAAGTGGTTGTGGAAGGGTTTCCCACAAGATACCTGTGTACATGGCTGTTTTGCTGTCACCTGTTTTATCTAGAAAGTTCTCTCATTCAGCATCCGTAAGTGTGCCCTGGAAACAGCACGGGGCTGAAAGCTGTGGTCTTGCATGGCTGAGCATGCCCCAGCCTCCTGTGAGGAAGGACCTGAGCAGGGTGGTTGGGCCTCATTTCCTCATCTTCCTGCTGAAGAATCCGACACAGGCTTGCTCTGTGAAGCACGGAGCTTGCCCAGGCCTGAGGAAGGCGCGGCTGTGCTCTATGCCGCTTCCTCGCTCAGACGTTGGAGGGACCATTCCTGAAAGCCTTGACCACTTCCCCTGAGTGGCAACTTGAACTCTGGATTCACCTTCAGAATCCATAGGAAACTCTTAAGCCTGCTCCTGCAGGGATTAAAAATAGTTTGAAATCCACTCAGGCAATGACTGTACCCCTGCGCCTCGGGCACTGTGCTCAGCAGGAAGACTCAGGCAGACCTGCCCTCTTCACACTGCAGCTTCCTGGGAAGGCAAGTGCGGTGCAGTGGGTCCACCCTGTTCCAAGTGCCTTGGTCCACAGAGATTTTTGGCAGTGGCCAATTGCTCAGTGTTCCTCAGCATGAAGAGATGGACAGCTGCTACAGAAGTCTTTAATCCACACAACAGGAAAACCTCTAGGTCTGGTCACCAAAATCCGACCTGAATCACCACAGTGGAGATCATGGACTCTCTCCAAGTTTCCAGACCTAAGTTGGGTCAGACCTAGAGCATCCTGATAGAAAGGAAAAGCCAAGGCCCCCAAGGAAGAATCTGCACTGGCGCCAGGAGTATATACCATAAATCCTCCTCCACACCTTTTCTGACATGTCCTGCAGCCCTCGAGTAAGGGAAAGGAAAGAACCTAGATGTCTCAGGGATTGCCTCAATTGACATGAATTCCTGGGAACCAGAAATGTGGCTCAGCAGCCAAAGTAGGAGCTTGCGATGGTCAGGTCTTCACTTGGTGGAGGCTCTAACTCAAGACCGACTCGCAGGGGCCCATGTGGTGCACTGTTCTCCAAATGGTGGTTCGTTTTTCAGCTCCTGGTTGTATAATAGAAACAAGCACACACTGGCTCAATCCCCTCCCTGGCTCTCTCATGTATGAGATGAGGATCAAGATGAGAAGTTTGGTGAGAGTCCCCAGAACCACCCCTTCTTATGTAGAAATACTGAACCCCTGAGAGAGCTTTGGAGATTAACGCCTTTGAAGAGCTGAAATAAGCAGGGGCTGTGACACTTCCTACAAACCCATTAACTGGCCACTTTGGCCCATGCAAAACTCAAATTCTTACCAGAAAAAGGGGTCTCCATCCAGACCCAAAGAGAGGGTTCTTGGATCTCATGCAGGAAGGAATTCAAGGCGAGCTGCAGTGAGAAGAGATAGTTTATTGAGATCTCTTACATCCCATTACAGAATAGGGCATCCTCAGAAAGCAAGCAGAGGAATGGGCCATCTTTTAAGTTTTTCTTATGTAGGGGTTTTGTCTATGTAAAGATTAAAGTAAGCTATGACTATATGCGGGTGACCAGACAGCATGGCAAAATGTACTATTCTGTTGATTTAAAGAAGACTGTCCTTAAGAATTTAGTGTGTGTGTACATTAAAGCATAACTCTCATTATCTGGAAAGCATATACTGTTTGGGCATTGGGACATCTGCACTCTGGTGTGTAGCAGTGAATCCTTGCAGGTATTCTTCAGCTGTTTCCTCAACTGTAAACATCTTAGGTCTGTGGGTCGCAACTGGCAAGGAATGTGCCTCGTTAGTCTCAAGATGCAGCAGAATTTCAAGTAGATTACCCTGACTCCGCTAGGCCCCTGCTCCCCTAACAATGCGGATTATGAAGAATGTGGACTATTGAAAATGTAATCAGCTGGTGACTTCAGTCACAGCTGCTGTGCCAGATGAGAAACCTCTACTGTAGAAAACCAACATATTCTCTGGCATTTTGTATGTGGCTACTGATCCTACTAATGCTTTTTTCTCAATCCAATTTGCAAGGACCACCAGAGGCAGTTTACTTTTACCGGGCAGGGGCAACAGTGTACACTCACAGTGTTGCCTGAAGGACATATGAGTTCTTCTGCTGTATGCAATGCTACTGCCTGCAGAGATCCAGTCATCTTCAGTTCACGAAATATTACAGTAGTCCACTAATGTTGCAATTGCTTTTGGTGTCTTTATCATGAAATATTTGCCCAGTCCTATGTCCTGAATGATATTACTTAGGTTGTCTTCCAGGGTTTTTATAGTTTTGGGTTTTACATTTGAGTATTTGACCCATCTTGAGTAGATTTTTGTATACGGTGTAAGGAAGGGGTCCAGTTTCAATCTTCTGCCTATGGCTAGCCAGCTATTCCAGCACCATTTATTGAACAGGGAGTCCTTTCCCTATTGCTTGTTTTTATCAGTCTTGTTGAAGATCAGATGGTTTTAAGTGTGTGGTCTTATTTCTGATTTATCTATTCTGCATCGCTGTGTCTGTTTTTGTGCCGGTACCATGCTGGTCTGGTTACAGTAGCCCTGTAGTACTGATTGAGTTGGGTAGCATGATGCCTCCAGCTTTGTTCTTTTTCGCTCAGGATTGTTTTGGCTATTTAGACTCTTTTTTGATTCCATATAAATTTAAACATTTTTCTTCTCATTCTGTGATGAATGTCATTGGTAATTTGGCAGAAATAGCACTGAAGCCATAAATTGCTTTGGGCAGCATGGTCATTTTAATGATATTGATTCTCCCTATCCATGAACATGGAATGTTTTCCCACTTGTTTCTGTCATCTCTGATTTCTTTGAGCAGTGTTTTGTAGTTCTCTTTGTAGAGATCTTTTATCTCCTTGGCTGGGTGTTTCCTAAATATTTTATTCTTTTTGTGGCAATTGCGAATGGGATTAAATGCCCCATTTGGCTCTTAGCTTGATGGTTGTTGATGTATAGGAACACTAGTAATTTTTGTGAGTTGATTTCGTATCCTGAGACTTTGCTGAAGTTATCAGCTTAAGGAGATTTTGGGCCAAGACTATGGGGTTTTCTAGATATAGAATCATGCTGTTCACAAACAGGGTTAATCTGATTTCCTCTCTTTCTATTTAGATGGCTTTCTTTCTTTCTTTTGCCTGATTGCCCTGGTCAGGACTTCCAATGCTATTTTGAATAGGAGTGGTTAAAAAGGGCATTCTTGTCTTGTGCCAGTTTTTGAGAGTGCTTCCAGCTTTTGCCCATTTAGTATGTTGGCTGTGGGTTTGTCATAAATGTCTTTTATTATTTTGAGATATGTTCCTTCAATGCCTAGTTTATTGAGATTCCTGGTTTGATAATTTCAACAACCTGCCATATCTGACACTGCTCCTGATGCTGTTTTAGTCTCTTCAAACTAGTTTTTGTCTTTTGGCGTGCCTTTTAATTTTTTCTTTGAAGGCTGGAAATAAAGTATGGCTAGAAGGAACTGCTGTAAAAAGGCCTTTATTGATGTGGTGGCTGGTGCAGGGGAGGGAAAGCATTTGACAATCCTATGAATAGGTCTAGGCCTGTGGTGACCCTGCACCCCTGAATTGTGACCTTCACAGGTGGTCCCCCATCCTGTGGGTGGGACAGAATGGCTGTAGGGGGCTGGAATTGTGTGTTTCCCTTCACCTTCATGGAAGTCCAGAGCCACATGGAGTTGGTAGGTCAGGCTCTGATGTAACCCAGCCTGTTTGGTTGGGATAAAACAGACTCCTGAGGAGTCTGAGGCATTGTTAAGAACAGAATGTCCTCTCTCACGATGGTTCCTTTTTTCTTCTCCCTGCTGAAGCACAAGGGGATTTTCCTTCAGTATTCACTGTGAGGACCTGGTTGAGCTCCTGGAGGTAAAATTCACAAAAGTGTAGGGGCCCCCAGGACTGGGGTCCCCCTGGAGTTACTGTCCCTCAGACTCTGCTGCACTGAGCCGCCAGCAGCTTTTCAGTGGCGGTTCTGGTTTTCCTACCCTGGCACTGGAGGTATCTGCTGGAGATAAGTTGTGACTCTTTCTCCCACCTGTATTTCGGGTGCAATGGTTTGCCCTGTGACCTCACTTCTCTACTGGACATAGGAAGGACTGTTAATTTTTCAGTTCTCAGCTTTTTACTTGTTGTTTGGAGGGAGCAAAGACTTCTTAGTTCCTTAAATGCTGAACTGGAAACCAAAAGTGA